TCTCATCCCTGAGAACTTGCTCAAGCCAAATTACCCATGCCTGCAAGCTGCCATTACCGAGAGTCCCCCTGCGGGTGATAAGACAGACGCTCTGCCTTCACACACCCTATATGCAAATGACTCCAGGAAGATAAGATTATTGGGCTGAGGACAGATACTATCACACCATCAGGTCACTTCCCAAGCTGGTTGAGGGAAGGAATGTAGCCACAGAGGTAGAAAACCTCGTCTTTTTGGGGGGCGAGTGAGGGCTCATGCCCACCTGTGTGAGCCCCAAGATTTCTCCTAATGGCCTCCACACGACTGGGCCTGTCTTAGGTTGTTCCTCCCACGAGGAATCTTACCCATCATTGACTAACGGGCCATCCTTTGGAGCCAAACAGGGAGACACAAGGTGTATGAGCAGTGTCCTCAAAAGGGTCAGTTTAGGGTTAGGCGCGTGGGGACAGATGGCTGCACAGCTGCGCGGCAACAATCCAGTTGTCTTTGAATCATGTATTGAAAAAACTATTCTTTCCCCCACTGAATTGTCGTGGCACCCATATTATCAATTGACAAGATCAATTATTTCTGGACTCTCCGTTTTACTCCGTGGATCTATATTTCTATCCTTGCACTAGTACCACATTGTCTTGCTTACTGTAGGTTTGCAGTGAAGGTTTGAAATTGAGAGACGTGAGTTCTTCAACTCTATTCTTTTCAAGGCCGTTGTGGCTGCTCGGGGTGCCTTCAGTTTTTTTCAACAATGTTTTGTAGTCTTCAGAATATAAGTTTTACAATTATTTTGTTAAATTTATGCATTTTATTCTTTTTGATGCTATGCTAAGTGGAACTTTTCTTAATTTGATTTTTAGATTGTTCATGGCAAGTATATCAATTGATCTTGTATCCTGCAACCTTGCTGTTATTGGTTCTGGTAGTATTTTAGAGTATTCCTTAGCATTTTCTATATATGAGACCATGTCATCTATTATATAATTTACTTTTCTTTCCAATCTGGATTCTTTTTCTTTTGCCCTAATTGCCCTGGCTAGAGCCTCCAATACAGTGTTTAATACAAGTGGTGAAAGTGAACAGCCTTGTCTCTTGCCTCTAAGAGAGGGAAAGCTTTCAGTCTTTAACCCAGGAATTATTTATTCCACTGTGACCAAAGAACACACTGTATAATTTGTTTTTATATTTGTCAAGACTTGTTTTATGGCCCAGGATATGGTCTACCTTGATGTATGTTCCATAGGCACTTGAAAAGAATCTGTATTCTGTTGGGTGGAGTCTTCTATGTTGATTGGATCCTGTGGGTTGATGGTGTTAAGTTCTACATCCTTGCTGATTTTCTGTCTAGTTGTTCTCCAGTTGTGAAGAGAGATCTCCAAGTATAGTGTGGATTTGCTATTCTTTCCATTCTACTAGGATTTGCATCGTTTTACAGCTGTTATTTCGTAAATCCATATTTAGGACATGTCTTTTTTTTTTTTTTTTAAAGATTTTTTTATTGGGGAATTGGGGGGATGGGAACAGTGCTGGGGAGTTGGGGGAAGGGGGACAGACAAGTTGCTGTCGTTTTGTTCTTCAATCTAGTTGTGGAGGATGTTGCTTCACTGGCCCAACTTTGCACCATCATTGCGCTCTTCCCTGGCGAGGCAGATCAGTCGCCGGCTTCTGGACGGCCGCTCACTGCGGCTGCTGGCCGCTCACGCTGGCTGCTGGCCACACACGGTAGCCCATGGCAACCCACTGCCACAGGGACTGCAGCCCACGCCGTCGCCGGCGACTCATAGCAGCCCAGCTCCAGGTTGAGCTGTTGTTCAGCATCTTAGCTATAGAGGGCAATGTCACTGGCCCTCATATGTGGGATCCGAACCGGGGCCCTCTGGCATCCCAAGCGAGTTCTTAACCATCGCGCCACTCGGCCGGCCCTAGGACATGTCTTCATGGTGGGTTGAGCCTTTCTTCATTATGTACCTTCCTCCTCTGTCCCTGGTCACTTTCTTTGAAGTCTAAAATATCTGATACTAATTATAGCAACTTTTTTGTTGTTGTTTGCATATTTACCATTTTCCCATCCTGTTACTTTCAACCTCCTTATACTGTATCATTTGAGGTGAGTTTCTTGTAGACAGCATAGGTTGTGTTTTTTCATCCACTCTGCCAATTTGTCTTTCAATTGATATAGTTTAGACCATTTCCATTTAATGTACTTAGTGGTGTGTTGAGCTTGTCTCCCATTTTGTTTTCTTTTTCCTGCTTTCTGTTGGGTTATTTAAATGTTTTTTTTAAATTCCATTTTGCTTTATCACGATTTTTGGGTTGATTTCTTGCCAACTTAGTGGTTGCACTAAGAATGACATTATATATACATAAGTTACCACAATGTACTGTTGTCCACATTTTACCAGTTTCAATGTAGAAAACTTTCCTCTTTGTATCACTTTGCTCTCTGCCATTTATAAATTATTTCCTCTACATAGAGAAACACATCAATGTTATAACATTTGCTTCAACAATCAACTTTAATTTAGAAAACTCAAGAGAAGGAAAGTGATTTACCCATAGTTGTACTCTTTCTCTTCTTTCTTCTTCTTGGATGTTCCGTTTCCTTCTTTTATTTTTTCCTTTAGGTTTAGAGAACTTCTTTAGCCATTCCTTTAGGATAGGTCTGCTGGCAACAAATTCTCTCAGCTTTCTTTCATCTGAGTAAGCCTCAAGGTTCCTTAATTCCTGACGAGTATTTTTGCTGGATGTAGAATTCTTAGTTGACAGTTTTCCTTGCTATTTTAAATTATTTTTTCTGGCCTCATGTTTTCTAATGAGAAATCTTCTGTCATCAAATTGTTTTTTCCCCATAAATAAGGAATCATTTCTCATGTGCTCCTTTTAAAATTTTTTTGTCTTTAGTCTTCAGAAGTTTGACTATGATGTGCGCTGATGTGAATTTCTTTAGGTTTATCTTGTTTGGGGGTCATCTGAGCTTCTTGAATCTGCAGGTTTATATCTCTTGCCATTTCTGGGGAGTTAGCCATTATTTCTTCAGCTACTTTTTCACCCTTCTTCTCTCCCTCTGGGACTCTGACACATTTTATACTTTTTGTTATAGGTCCCTGAAGTCCTTTATTACTACTTTTAAAAGTCTATTTCCTCTCTATTTTTCAGATTGGGTAATTTCTACAGTTTTAACTACAAGTTCTCGGATTCTTTCCTTTCTCCTCCATTGGCTTTTTTGTTATTTTTTAACTCTAAATGGCTCTTTATATTTTCTGTTTCTCTGCCGAGACTGTGAAGTGTGTTCCTAATTGCTTGATGACACATTTTTATAATGGCTGCTTTTAAATCCTTGTCAGATCATTGTAATGTCTGTCATCTCAGTGTTGTCAATTGTCTTTTCTCCTTCAAGCTGAGATTTTCCTGGTCCTGGAAATGAGTGATTTTTTACTCAAACACGGACATCTTGGATATGTTATGAAAACTCTGGATCTTATGTACATGTTACAGGGCAAGTCCTCTGATGGGGATGGAAAGGCACAAGTTCAGGCTCCTTATGATGGCTGCGGACACCCAGGGTGGCAGTGTCTCCTAGTTACTGTTGTGTGGGGGTGATTTCCATCGTCCTACAGCTCTGCTGGTTAACACCCTGGTTTGGGAGGGCTGGGGTGCCTCATCTCTCCTCCTGTGGCTTCCACTGATATGAACGTCAAGTCCCAGCTCCTTACTTTGTGCTTCTCTGACATCGTCCCTGCAGGTATTTTGGGGTGCCCCCAGTACATTAAGGCTGGAAATCTAGGCTCCCAACTTGGCCTTTCCGGGTGAAGTTGATTCTGGCTTTCAGTCTAAGGTACCTTTTTTCTGGACTTTTTATTTTGGGGGGGGACAGGGCGGTGGGGGGCTGGGTTGGGGGTGGTCCTGCTTCTCCAGCACCCAGTTTGAGATATGTGAAGCAAAAGGAAAATCTGGGGAGCTCAGTGTCAGTCATCCCGTGGGTCCTGAGGTCCCCAGTCAGTCTTCTTCTCTCCACCTTTCAATCTTGTTTTCTATAAGATGTCCAGGGTTGTATTTCGTAAAAATAGGGGTAAGTACTTCCATTCCCTCTTCCCAGAAGAGAAAGTGTTTCACTTCTAATACCATAATACAACTATATGGGAATGTCAAATGGTGCAGCTCCCGTTGGAAATTGGAATACTGAGTCCTCAAAAACTTAAAAATAAAATTTACCATATGACCCAGCAATTCCACTTCTGGGTATATGCCCAGGACAACTGGATGCAGAGTCTGAAAGTGGGATCTGTCCACCCATGTTCACAGGAACGTTATTCACATGAGCTAAAACAGGAAAGCAACCCAACTGTCCATCAATGGATGAACTTAGGATAAGCAAAATGTGGTGTATATACACAATGGAATATTACTTGGCTTTAAAAAAGAAATTCTGATACATGCTACAATATAGATGAACCTTGAGGACATTATGTTAAAATTAGCCAGACACAAAAAGACAAATATTCTGACTCCACTTATGTGAGTGGTCAAAATCATAAAGACAGAAAGTATAACAGTGGTTGCCAGGGGCTGGGGGGGAGGGAAGAATGGGGAATTATTAAGACAGGAAAATTTATGTGTATTTTACAATAAAAAAATATCAACTAGTTAATTTTTGTCTAATGCATACTGGATCTAAGAGGCCTATTTCTGAGTTTTTCTTCAAAACCAAGGCAAAAGCCATCCGTCAGCTCCCTTGTTGCCCAGGAACAGATCCAGCTCTGTGTTGGAGCTGACCGTCCCTCATACCCACAAGGCCCTCTGGGCCCAGGAGGTCCCAGGTTCCCGTGCCAGGTGCTTCCACAGCCTTCAGTGCTCGCGCGCACGCGCGCGCTCTCTGCTGTGGAGACTGGGTCAGAGTCCTGTGAGGTACTGTCCAAGGTCAGTGCTGGTGAGTAGAGCAGAGGAGAATTCCTGTTTCTGGTGTCACATCCCACAAGGACACTTAGTAACAGAAATGACAACTCAGAGGTAGGAATTACAAATGTTTATTCAGAAATGGATACGTAACAGAGTCTCCTCCGTCCCTTAATTCTTCCTCTCCTTTTGAACAGACACATGGGGATACAGGGAAATGGGAGGGAAGGACTCAGGGACTGGCCTAGCACCTTCTCTTCTGTTTCCCACAGTGACATCCTGTGAGCAGGGGAGGCAGACAGGCTCCAGCATCAACGTGCCACACGGCTCTCTGAGGACTGGGTCCAGGTGCCCAGGCTGCTGCAGCTGGTTCAAGGAAACTGTGACGCCCAGAGCAGCCTGGCTGGGGCTGCAGGGAGGGGAGGATAACGCCATGCAGGCAGGATGTTTACCGTCTCTGCTCGAAGCACAGTCCGCAGTGACCAGACCATGCTTAGGACCTGAGAAACCAGGTCCTGCCGCCTGGTGCTCTCTTGGGCCCAAATGGGAAAAGTGTAGGAGGAATGTCTTCCAACTGTGAGAAGTCTGCACCCGTTCAATGGGGAAGAGGGGGACAGAAACTGCATTCTTGGGCAACCTCAGAGCTGGAGGACAGCTGGGTTCAAACCCCGGGTCCTTCCTGCTTCAGACATAACTGTGGCAACATGCGTTTCCAGGGTTTTCTTCACTGGGCTGGAACCAAGCAGGTCTTGAGATGCTCTTCCTGTCTCAGGCCCTTTCCTTTCTGGGCTCGTGCCTGTCACAGCACTTGCTCCTGGCTTCTGCAGAGCTCTCAGCATCCTGCTCCCCACCGCTCTCCAGCTCTGTCAGCCTGGACTCCTCTTACTGCCCCAACAAACCAGCAGGAGGCAACGCTGTCTTGGGATCCAGGGGCTGCCCCGGGTTCTAGTTTGGCCCCAACTCCCCGAACCAGGCTGAGGGAACCACCCCTGCTTGCCTGGAAGGGCTGCTTTCTCTCTCCGCTCCCACCCACTTCCAGGGCAGGAAAATAGCCCTCTGGTCATGGATGACGGGTCCCTTATAATAGTGGGGACAGTGCCCCTTGGTGGCAGCTGAATAGATGCCTCTCGGCACCCATGACCATTATCCTGTAGAATCTGAGGCCAGCAAGGAAGGGCCAGGAGCAAGCCAACATCTCCCCTTTTAAGTCCTCCAAACCCAGAGTCACAGAATTAGTGGAGAGCTGGCACTGACACTACAACCAGGCTGTGACAAGTGCTGGGCTAGCTAGAACTGGAAGGGCTAACAAGGTGAGCCCCCAACACTGACAGCCAGGAGCCGCGAGCTGGGGTGGAGTGCCCGGCACAGCCCAAGGGAAAAGGGAACCGTGCGTCAGGATTTCCTCTGGGTTGCCCGGGACAGCCCGGGCCCTCCAGGCCACGAGCTGGGAGCACTCTTCCAGCACAGCAGCAGTCTCTCCCTGCCCTTGCCACTGGGCCCTCTGTGGTGAGAGAACTGTGGTGAGAGAACAAGAGGCCTGAGACCAGACCCCGCCTAGGCCATCTCTATTGACCAAGCCGGGGGGTGGCACAGCTCTGGAGCTGACCTGGCTCCCATGAGGGTGGCAGGGGTTTCCCTTCCCCACCTGAAAAGTTTATAAAAGAAAAAGGAGAGGCAGCGTCCTTCAAATAGCCCCTGCCTGGTATTCCATGGAGCCACAAGAAAGCCACGCAGACAACTCAGGGCACCGTTTCCAGACAAGGAGTGGAGTCAGTGTGGTGGGGCTGAGGTTACGGGGAGAGACACTCGGAGCCACACACCTACCTTGGTGCTGAGGTGGAGGGGGAAGAAACACACTACAGGAAATGTTAACGTACAGAACAGCACAGGGTAGAACACAACACAGAGGCAGGTCCCGTCCAGTGAGGAAGCTCTCTACCCCACCCGGGGGCCTCCAGTCCAACGGCCCATTGGTCACAAGCTTTGCGTTGGGAGACAGAGCCACCCTTCTCTGCCCCCACTTCTGGCTGCTTCACTCCCCGCTCAGAGCTTGATTTTGAATTCTGTGGGCTGTGTGGTCACAGAGGCCCCTGAGGACTTGAATAGCGCCTTCAGGATGGTGTCAGGGTCCACTTCGGCAGGAGGGTTGGATGAGGTGGCAGAATTCACCCTGCGAGGCAGCTCACTCTCCTTTTTCACTGACGGGCTGTCACTCAGCCGTCTGTGGAGGGCAGAGAAGACTCAAAATCCTTGTCAGTTTTCCCTTACACGGGACGGGACCCACTACTCACTGAGCATGTTATAAACTAAGCACTGAACGTAATGCTTTCCGTACTCCCTTATCTCATCCCGTCTGAGGCGAACTATCACCTTTTTAATTTGCTGATGAGAAAACTGAGATGCAGCCTGTCGTGATCTGGGGTTTTAAGTTAAGAAAACAGGGCATGTCCTTCACGGATGGTCACACACACACCAGCATATTATACATTCTGAGATGTCTTCAAGTAAAGAAATCAATTTAACTGTTTAGTCCAATAGTTCCCAAACTTATTAGGTCACCAAACCCACATTTTTCAGAATATAATTTAGTCCTGGAATACAGCTTACAAAACTTGTCCAAATCACACAATTCATTATGCGTGTCAAATTATGGTCTTTCTTAACTTCAGAGTCTATTTCAGGCCTACCCCACACTCCCCCACCCACCCTGGCAAGTTTAATATCCTCTCTGGGTCTCTGTCTCCTGCCAGTCTGGACATTTTATGCATCTCGGACTCCAAAACAATCCTCAGTGCCAGGCCAGGCACAGACGCCAGATGGGTGTAACGAAACAAGGAGTAGCAGCTAGCACCATCTCCATCAGTCAATCACAAGAAAGCATTCTGTTCCCTCAGACAATGCACACAGCTGTGCAAAGAGGGCACACCTGGCCTGCTCTCCACTTTCTTCTCAGGTGTCTCTAAATTATACGGCTGGGGCTAGGTCTTAATGTTAGCCCCTGGGACTCAGCTCCCTGCAGAAATTATGAGACAAGCCACTCTACAAATTCAAGCACCCCGATCAACTGCCTATCACAGAGCACAGGCCATGGAATGGAGCTGTGATGCGGGCATTTACCCCTCGGAATAAAGAGGCAATCATGCAGAGTAAGCAAGCAGAGACGCCCCACCTGGTTCCCAGCACCGTGGCCTTTGGAACTTACAGCAGGATAGGCTGGTCCGAGGTGATGACGTTCCCATTCATGTGAAGGTTGCACTTCATTGGTTGTCCTGAAAAATCAAAGAAAAAGCTCTGCCATGAGACCATGGATCTCACGCAAAAGGACCGGGGCTGCCACCCCCATCAGCAGGGGTCAAAGCACCCACCACCCTGGGGATGGGGCTGCCAGGTTTCTGCAAAACCCAGCACTAAGAAAACCCCGGTATGGGAGGTCCAGGAAACCTTGGCAATGACAGCACCAAGAAGCGAAGTGGCAGCGGACCTTGCTTCATTCAGGAGGACGTGAGAGTGAAGTAGGAGAGAAAGTGGACTCAGTGTGGAGCCATGCAACCTTGTACGTGAGGCAGTTAGTAAGGGAATGTTTATGCTATGAAATGAAAAGAAAAGAAGATTCAAAGGCTTATGCAGACTTCCACTTTGTCCATGAAAGGTTAACTGCTACTGAGTACTACACTACCACTGTACAGAAAATGTGGGGGGGGGTTGTCACTTTGTGAGGGGTGAAAAGGATAACTATTGCATTGTTTTGTACACCTGAAACTAATAATCATCATCATCATCATAATAAAAAGAAAATGTGATAAGGAGAGTTAACAACAAAGAAGGGGAAGATAAAGAAATTAAAAATTTTTTAAGATTAAAAAAAAGAACAGCACAAAAAGACGGAATAGAGCCACATAGAAGTAACGTTTCTCTCTCTCTCACTGGGATTAAGTTAGTATTAATCTGAAATAGATTCTAATATATTCTATCTGTCAAAGACACATTCAGATTCAAAGATACAAAAAGGTTCAAAGTAAAAGGAGATATGTCACCCAAACAGCAACCCTAAGAAAGCTGGAATGGCTATATTAACATAAGACAAAATAGACTTTAAAATGAAAAACGTTACTACAGATAAACAGGGACATTTCATAAAACATAAAAGGGTCGCTCCATTAGGAAGAAAACAATTAGAACAATTATAAACATATATGCAACTAACAACAGAGCCTCTTAACATATGCAGCAAAAACTAATGAAAGCGAAAAGGAGAGTAAACAAACAATAGATGAAGGTTTCACTACTTCAGTTTTAGTAACAACCAGGCAGAAGATTAACAAAGAAACAGAAGACTTGAACATGATAAACCAACTAGACCCAACAGACATCTACCCAACAGCAGCAAAATGCATATATTCTCCTTAAATACTCAGAAGAAAAATTGGGAAATTCACAAATATATGGAAATTAAACAAAATAATCCTAAATAACCAAAGGGTCAAAGAAAAAACAAGAGAAATTAGAAAATATTTTGAGATGAATGAAAATACAGGCACAACGTATCAAAACTTAAGGGATGTAGCTAATGCTGTGCTTAGAGGGAAATACATTGCTTGAAATGCATATATATAAAAAAGGAGTGAAAAGACAAACTGTAGAATGGGAGAAGTTATTGGCAAAGCATTTATCTAAGAGACTTCTATCAAGAACATGTAAACAACTCTTACAAGTCAATAACAAAAGACAACTCCAAAACTGGGCAAAGATTCTGAACAGACATTTCTCTAAGATACACACACACGGCCAATAAATAAGCACATGAAAAGATGCCATCATCATTAGCCACCAGGGAAATGCAAACTGGACCCCCAATGACTGGGTTTTATTAGTCTCTGCATCGCTATTTCTAGCACAGGGCCTTGGTTCACAGTAGGTACTCTAATAAACACCAGAAGAACGAATGAGTGGACAGGAGGTGCATGGCGGACAGAAATACTCTTCATAGGCTATCCTGAGATGAATGATGTGAATCTGAAGTCAGTGAAACCAGTGGTTTACTCACTAGAAGCAGTGCTCACGCAGGTGCCAATATTTAGACAAGGTTCCTCAAAGGAACCCGTGTCCTATCAGTGAACAGAATAACACCTGGAAGGGGAGACGCTATAGCTCTTGCTTTCCTAGCCAAGACTCCCTAAGAGAACCATCCGTGGATAAATGGTGTTTCCCCACTAGCTAGCTTAAGTGCTGGGACTGGGTGAAAACCCACGGCCCTGTGAACTGGCAGCTGGCAGCTGAGCACTACCCAGAAGGTTCCGAGCATCTCAGAGGAAGGTCAGTTCCAGAGGAAGGCCTGCTGCCTGACAGGAAGCAGGTGCTTTCCCCGACTCACCGTCCAGACACCGGTTGTTGTATTTCTTATATGCAGTGATGGCATCGTCCTTTTTCACAAAGACCACCTCTGCTACCCCAGGATGGACCAGCCGAGCCCGCTTCAGGGCTCCACATACACAGAAAAGCTCCTGCAGAGAACAAGAGGGATTAGGGTTGGGGGAGAATTTCAGACCCTCATCCTGCCTGCCTGCCATTCACACACTGCAGAGAGCTCTGGGTTGACTGGTGGCTGCACTCTGGCTGAATATGCCCCAGCGCCCAAGCTTTCAGGGAGCCTCAGTTTTAGGTGGTGTTCTTGGAATGTCCACAGGCCTCAGCATGGGACCAGAAGAGGGGACAAGCTTTGCTGGCAGTGAGAAATGGGGCTGGGCTTACAAGCCTTAAGTCCCTGTGCCCTTTAATAAGTCACCCCCAAAAGTCCTCCTGCTGCAGCGCCTATTTCCCCAACATGGACAACGGTTATGGAATTTCTCTCAGAGAACTCTGTCCTGAGAATGAATGTGTAAGCTTATCAAAGAAAGACAGTGGCTAGTATGTCACATAGGAATCTGTTAGGAATCAATTCTAGAGTTTTATGCAGAGTGACCAACCCTCCCAGCTTGGCTGGACTGAGGTGATTTCCAGGACACGGGACTTTTACTGCTAACCAGGAGTCCCCAGCAAAACTGACAGCTCATCACTCTCAGACAGACAGGCCTGGGTGTCATCCCTGGGGCTCTTCTCAGCTGTGTGACCTCTAGCTCCAGCAAGTTATTCACTTCTCTGAGGGTGAGTTTTCTCTTCTGAAAAGAAGGATGGGCTAGCCTACCTCCCAGGGTTGTTGTAAAGATCGAATGAGATCATTTTTAAGGGGGTGCTTTGTACATACATTATCATCCTCATTTACTGCAATCCCTCCTCACTTCACGGACCGGAGACTGAGGCCAGAGAGGGACATACAAGGTGGACATGGATGTTAGCGAGCCTCAGTGGGCTAAGCCATTTCTTCATCTGCAACTGTCCTTTGCAAGGCCATTATGAGGACAAAGAGACTTACAAAAAGGTCGTTGAAATTATTCATTTTTATTGATAAAGGAGACTACATCAAATATCAAAACCAAGATATGGAACTGAATACTGGGTGTGATCCCAATCTCACTGCTGTTGTTCTTTCAGCTTCATCTAGTTGGGTAGAAAAGAGGTGAGGGTGACTATTTTGGGCCATTGTCTCAGTGGTGACAATTGGAGGTGATTAGTTCTTTTCACTATTCTATATTTTCAAAGATCCTGCACATAAAGTACTTGGCACACAGTAAGTGCTCAGTGAGTGGCAGCTATTATTACTTCTATAACCAAGAAGATGTTTTTCAAGTTCTTGGTAACTTGTCACGTATTCCAAAGCAGGCTGTAATTCCCATCCTCACGCGCACCGCTCACTGGGGCACCTGCTCAGTTTAAAAGCAGTCACAACAGCACTTGTGTGTCCCACGATGTCATTCACACACACAGCGGCGGCCAGTGTGGGCCATTCCAGAGCCTGGGGCTCAGCTGTAGAGACAGGCTGAAGTCTCCAGCTGCATTCATTCTGTGATCTGACAGTTCAGACTTAAAAGGTGCCTGGATTTCTAACCTAACAGCTTTTCCTGGTACCTGAATGAAGATAAGGTTGAAAAGAAGCCCTGGCTGCACCTGGGCCCCCAGGCACCAGAATCAGGTTTGCCCATGACTGCCAAGGGTGGGAAAGGACGAACCCGGAGCGAATCCAGAGGCTCAACCACCACAGAACACCAATCCACCTCAGTCCTTTTCCTTTGGAATCACGTGAAACCCCTAGACGAGGCAGAAGTTCTGAAGACTCACAGGAAAAGGAGCACTGGGTGTTGCACCCAGGACTAAGGGATCCCATTCAGGACCCGTTCCAGCACAAGCCCCGGGCCCAGGTTTACAAGATGTGCGGAAAACAGCTAAGAGAGCCGGCCTGACTGCTGGCCTTTGAAAGCCCTGCTTCTAAGGTTGGCTCTTGGCTGGCGTCTGGGAACCGGGATTCTGGGAAGGCTCCCATCACCCTAACTGATAAGAGTGGCTCACTGGGCCTGAGCTGTTTGTGCAAACAATGTGGTTTGTGCCGAACACCTGCTTTCCTTCTGGGAGCCTGGCACTTTGGCTGGGTGCTAGGCAGAGGATGCCTGCACAGATACTCCCTGGTTTAAAAAAAAACACCTCTGGGCACTGAGTCTCTAAGGAGCTTCCTTGGTTTCACACGTGTGCCGGGGGAATCAGTACATCCTGTGTGGCTCCCCTGGGAGAGGACTCCGCAAGTCTGTGCCTGGTTTCCCCTGGCCTTTGCCAGGAGCTTTCCCCTGTGCTGAGTTTGCTTTGTATCTTGTAATGAATGAATCTTAGTCCCGATACAACTCTCTGCTGAGTCCTGTGAGAATCAGGGCCCCCGGGGGTGGTTTCGGGAACCCGACACAGAAAATTCTGGCAGGGCACAATACTCACCACAATGTCCTCCTCGGTGACACGAGGGTGCAGGTTATTCACAGTCATCTTGGTGCCTTCCAAAGGGCTGAGGACAGGCTACCGGAGACAAGCGCGTTACCAGAGACAGAGGACAGCTACGAGCTCGAGCAGCAGAACTCCCTCTAGGCAAGTGACTAGGAGGGCCCCGAGGAAACCCCGGAGGGCCATCTCCGGTGAGGGGACCTCAGTGCCCATCATGTCCCCACCGCCCTGTGCTAAGGGATGCAGCCTCTCGTTTCCCACACATGCCAGTCCCTCTCAGGCCTCTGAGCCTCTGCATGGAACGCCACTCCTGTTTCAAGACCCACCCAGCTCAGGTGGCGCTCTCTCCTTAAAGCCTTCCTGGGTTTGCCCAGCGGAATTAGCTGCTCTCTCCTCTGGGCAGGCTGCTGTGTCACCGGACACAGTGCTCTGTCTGCAGTGGTTTTTCCCACTTGCCTGGGAGCGCTCTGCTCAAGGGCCACTGGGTCTTGGTTTGCTCATGTGCAAAATGGGGGGGGCAACGCCTACTTCAGAGAGGCGCTGAGGACACAGCAGGGTACACACAACATGCCCACCCAGCATAGACTGACTCTCAACTGATGTGATCACTTCCTCTCCTTCACCTTCACCTCACCTCGGCAGACGGCAGCTCCTTGGGGGAGTCCTCCTTGTTCACGAGCGTCCGGGACATGTTGGTCAAGGCTTTTGTTCGGACAGAGGAGGGGAGGGCAGGAGCTGTGTACGCATCATTCTGAACCACTTTGGTGAGAGGTAGGGCCTTGGACATGGAAAGCTTGGAACTGCTCAGCCCAGCCTAAACGAGGAGGCAGACAGGAATTTGAGATGCTAGTGACCTGGAGGCCCCGCTAGGGGCTGACAACCCCCACCCTCGAAGCCTCCCAGCTTCCCATTAGCAGTCTGAAGCCAAAAACGCTACCTGTGACATCCCACAGGGAAGGGGGTGGGAGGGGAGCAAACATGCCACCTGCACACACACTCACAGAAGGCGCTTTCCAGTGTTAGAAGCCCTTGGCAATGAGCTTCCACACAGCTCTGACCAGGATCCACAGGCTCACCCACACCATTTAGGTTTTATAAAAACCCAACCATTTGGGGCTGGTCAGGAGGCCAAAAGCTTGGGGTCAAGTGCATTCCAAGACATGCTTCTATCACAATGGACTGATCATTAGCTCCAGGATGGCTGGGCCTAAGAACCCACTCTTAAGAAGGCCAGCCTCCCAGCTTCCCGGTCCCCATTCTGGCGCACCTCGCACAGGCCTGGCCCTATCAGCCCCTAGGCTGTCAGGAACACACTGGCAGAGGTTGACCCTGGAGGCCAGCAGAAACAGTTCCCTCCCTCCCTCACTACCCCTAACTGGGAATGTGGGGTCCCTTGGAACTATAAAGCGGTCAAGTCCCAAGTATTAATGTGTCCGAGGAAAGAGGCACGAGGCAGAAGTGGCAGGTGGCCTGGCTGATTTAGGGCAGTGTTTACCAGGCACTGACTCAGAGAGAGAAGAAGAATGCAGCAGCCAGAAGGCCAGAGAATGGGGCAGGGTTGCAGTGTAAACGAAGCGTCCTCCCATGCTGGAGTCGACATTCCTCAAGCTGCTTTCTGAGTCTCAAGAGCCAGTACAGTGTGGTGGTTAAACATGAGCCGTGAGCAAAGCTGTTTCCACCTGAATCCCAAACCCCTCAGTTACAAGCTGGGTGACACTGAACAGACTTATTTAGCAAATCTGTGCCTGATTCCTCGCAGTAAAACGGAAAATAATGGGACCCATCTCACAGGGTGGAAGGAGGCGTCTTAAATGAGTTCATAGAAACAAAGCATTTAGGGTCCTCAATTAGGGTTGGCCACTGAGCCAGCTGACAGCACCCCATGCAGCAGATGACGAGTCTAATTACTGGAAAGGTCCCGCCCCTTTGTAACAAATGGGTGTCATTCAGCTTCACACTCACTTAGGAGCTTCAGTGGTAAATACAATCAGGAGTTTGGTCCACACAGTGCACTGACCAAAGCTGAGTCTTTGGGCCTCTGAAGGCAAAACAAAGGCACTAGGCTTGGGTGCCCACCGGCCTCCCTATCAGTAATTTGGCTCTACCCACTGAGCAGAGTAGTGCAGACCTCCCTGAAGTTCCCAGACGCTGCTTTCTTTCCTTCTTTGCATGGTATCTGACTAGCATCCTGCCCTGCACGCAGGCTGTACCTGGTGGAGCCTACAGGTAAGGTTCAGATTTTGTTTGTTTTTTTAAAGATTTTATTGGGGAATTGAGGGGAGGGGAACAGTGTTGGGGAATTGGGTAAGGGGACCACCCAAGTTGTTCTTCAATCTTAGTTGTAGAGGGCGCCAGTTGCCATCTGGCTGTCTGTCAGCAGCTCGTAGCCTCTAAGCTCAAGGTGCCGAGTTCAGTCTTAGTTGCGGGTGGGCATAGTCCACCATGAAACAGGCAATCTTGCTGTTACACCAACTGAGCCATCCTGCCACCTGTTGGCAGCTCAGCTTGGGCGCAGCATCACTGGCCCATGTGGGAATCGAACTGGCGGCCCTGTTGCTTAGCGCTCGCGCTCTTAAGCCAAATCTTAACCAACTGAGCCACTCAGCCGGCCCAAAGTTCAGATTTTTTTGCTAACACACCAACAAAGGGAATTCAAGAATGGGGCCGGAGCTGCTGACCGTAGACCCAAGGGGAATGTGTAGGATGTCCTGCCACAAAGGGAAGAAAATGGGGTTCCATCCTGTGGGGTCACCCACATTTCCCCCAAACTGTCTCAAACACAGCAATTGGGAGCTGCAGTCCACACTTCACGAGCTGTGGGACCTTGAACTAGTCAACAGACACCCTGGACTCAGCATTTGTAAAATGACAGGTTGCACTAGTTCTGATTCTGAAAATCTTATGACCCAAATGACGAAATATTTCTGACTTGAAAGGCCCTACTCTTCACCACCTCTCCCATCCACCTGATCAGACACACACAGTAAGTATAGGAAAAACACAGAATGCCCTACCATGTGGTGGAGAAAGTTGCCTGAGGCTGAGAATTTCATCTGTTTACTAGGAACGGGAGCTGCAACGTCATCGTCTTCATCCAGGTCATATACATTCTGAAAATAATATAAGCTAATGAGGCATGCAGGCTCTCAACAGACATTTGGAGCAAGGACAGTAGAGAGACAATGGCTGGAGTGAGAGTTGGAGGGAGAAGCAAGGGTGGGGGCGGGGGGTGAGGTGGGTGCCAGGGAGGCTTGCCTCTAAGGCTGGGGCTCAAGTCCCGACAGGCTGGCTCCCTACCCACCGGGGCCCCATGAAAGTGCTCCAACTCCCAGAAGCATCAGAAGTGCCTTTCCACAAGGG